TAGAGAGTACACAGTAAATGACGTCAGAATTTTACGGTTGGCGTGCGAAAAGTTTCGCACCGATTTCATTCAAGAGGCAGGCTTTGACTGCCTGCACCATTGCCTCACTCTAAGCAGCACCACGTTCTGCATTTTCAGGCGTGATTTTATGCGCCCTCATACCATGGGCATTATTCCACGCCCTGGTTTTTACAGAGGCCTGGATACTTGCTCCTTGAAAGCGCTGCGCTGGTTGGCGTTTGAAAACTCTAGGCTGCAGCCACCCTCCCACATTCAGCACGCCGGCAACGGGCGTGAGGTGCGCCTCCTGGGCACCTACAAGGTGGATGGCTACGCCGAAATAAATGGAGATAAAATAGTTTTTGATTTTCTTGGGTGCTGGCATCACTCGCACCCGCCAGACCAGTGCCTTACCTTCAAAAGTGTCACTCGCGAGGTGCGTGACAAGCGGGCCGAGGCCAGCCGCAAGGAGCGTTACTTACGCACCATGCGGATCCATGACACTCTCAGGCGGTCTGGCTACAAGATCAAGATGATTTGGGAGTGTCAATTTGACAGTGAGGAAAAATACAACCCTCACATGATAGACTTCTTTAAAGAGAACAAGTGCGAGCCTCCCGCCGTCCTCAACGAGCGGGATGGTCTGTACGGCGGCCGCACGGGCGCCTTCAAGGCATATTACAAGTGCGACCTGGAGGCTGGCGAGCGAATAAATTATTATGACGTGCAGAGTCTCTATCCTGCCGTCCTCTGCATGAAAAAGTATGTGATAGGCCACCCTGAGGTCTTTGTTGGGGAGGACCCCGCCGCACCCTCTCTGGACCAGACGGAGGGCTACATCTCCTGCACTGTGCTCCCCCCGCGGGACCTGCTGCTCCCCCTCCTCCCCTGGCGCTCCCCCAACGGTCGCCTATTGTTCGTCCTCTGCCGCACATGCGGCGAGCAAGAGAACCAGGGGCCCTGCATTCACAACCTGGACGAGGAGAGGTGTCTAAGGGGAGTGTGGCCCGTGCCCGAGGTGCGTAAGGCCCTACAGCTCGGGTACCTGATCCTCAAGACTGAGGAAGTCTGGCACTACCCGAACACCATGCAGTACAATGTACAGACAGGCGAGGAGGGGCTGTTCAGTAAGTTCATTACGCACTGGATGCGTAAAAAGATTGAGGCGAGCGGCTGGCCCTCCCACTGCACCTCGGATGAGGCCAAGCAGGAGTTTGTTGATGGCAACAAAAGACTGCTCGGCATCACCGTAGACCCCGCCGCCGTGAAGAAAAATGCCTCCTTGCGCCATCTGTACAAGGGCATTCTAAACTCTGCCTGGGGCAAGGCGTGCGAGCGTCCTGAGCGCTCCCACATCGTCATGGTGGAAACCTACACACAGCTGCTAGAGTTTGTCACGGACGATACCATCCAGATCCAGGCCATCACACCAATCAGTGACAGATTAGTGCAGATTTCTTATACCCTAGTAGAAGCCTGCCAAGAATCACTACCTACCAACTCTGTCATCCATGGGGCGTACACCACTATGTACGGGCGCCTGGAGCTCTACAAGTACATGGAGCTGCTGCAGGACAGGCTCTGCTACGAAGATACGGATTCTGTAGCGTTCGTGTCACGCCCTGGGTGCCCAGACCCACCCCTAGGCCCCTACCTAGGTCAGCTGACAGACGAGCTGGAAGCGTTCGGCCCGGGTAGTTTTTGTTATGAGTTCTGCTCGGGCGGGGCTAAGCAATATGCTATGAAAATTGCATGCGGAGGTGATGTGAACAACACAAAGGTGATCATCAAGCTTAGGGGCGTAACTGTGAACCAGTCGTGCAGTGACATTGTGACCTTTGAGAGGTTCAAAGACATGGTGCTGCACGGCAAGGACCCCACACTCATAAAAATCCCCTCCCAGATAGCCAGAGTAAAGGGGTGGAGGCTGGTGACACGGCCTGCCCAAAAGATCTGGAGACCCTGTCTGACTAAGAGACAGCTGGACGAGGGGCGTAAAGACACGCGCCCCTACGGCTTCCAGCAGGTAGACCTCAATGAGGATGACGAGGCAACACTACTAGCCTTGATGGATTTGGCGGAGCAATAAAAAAAATATCCTTTCCCTATTTCCCTTTCCTTTC